AAGAAGTAGTAATGCTAATATGATATTCATTTTGACATATCACTCCAAATGAAGTCAGAAAAAATAAAAATGAAATCGCGGATATTCGGTTTTCTTCAAATATCTTCGGAAGTATTACGAGATCCCCATAATGAGCCTCGAATTCCAGCCACCCTGTTCATGAAAAGCATGTCATATCAAATTAATCACTATACAGGGGAAAAGGAATTTCACATTCCCTTTGATGAAAATTGATATAACTTTTTCGGAGTACGCCACTGACCTTATTCTGATTATTCAATGAATGACAAAAGTAATCATCTAACTTTTTTCTCAATGCAGTTCCCTTACAATTTTCCTTGGTTTTCGAGATATCTAACATAATTAATTTTGGTGCTTCTCCATACTTGTTTATGATGTCAGGATTATCATGTTTTGCATGTTTTCACCACCGTGTGTCGAGTTATTGACCACAATAGTCAATGAACTACTTATTTCATCTTCAAATTATTTTTTTTTCTCGAAAAAATGTTTCCGCGAGAAAAAATAATGAAATTTGGAATCGGTGGTAGAAATGGATATTGTTAGTCAACAACTTCAAACAAATGAGGAAGCATCATTTTGTTAGATATCTCGAAAACTAAGAAGAATTATAAAAAACTGCAGTTAGAAAGGTTATATTGTCACGGAGTAGCTTGCGGCCTCCACCTATCATCACGGTAGGCCCGGTAGGGTGATCCTTCCTACCTTTGTACCACGGGGGTGAGTACGATTCCCCCTATCTTCTGGGGCTGCTAACTTCTCCGTGATGGGCTACACCTCCAGCTACGTTCCCTTGTGGGATATGCCGAGCTGTGAGGTTTATATTATTGGGGGTCGTAGTGGCAATGCGAGAGGTGATCTGACCAAAGAGGAGTTGCAGCAAAGAAATAACGAGAGTGTGGATGAAGAAAAAAATACAATTTAATTAAATAAAGTGAAGTTATATGTGTACAAAAGTGATATTCTTTCATCTGAACTATCTGACACATTTCACGTGAACTGAACTGACAGATGACATGCATTGTACATAATATACATAATATGAACGTCATTCGAAAGAACGATTCAGTTCAGTTCTAGTGAAATATTTCAGTTAGTTCAGATTGAAAGAATATTACTAAAGTGAAACAAATCAAATCAAACATCAAAACGAATGTACGTGTATAAGGAATCAAAAAATTAAACAAATGTGACTAAAGTGAAGTGACTCAAGTGTACAAAATTAAGAAAAAAAAAACAATCATGAGCAAAAACACAGTGTACAAATAAAGTGTTCACTCACTCACTCACATTAATCCCTACCAGGGTAACATGCGACACGCCCCTTCATTAGTACATTACCTAACCTCCTCCCTGGATTACTTAAAGTTGCCGGAAGGAGTAGGTATTCAAAGCGGTGACCACGATCAAACCCTCTGTGATCGCAGAATTCCCCATATGGATTGTACTATTCTATATCGATTGCAGTATGCCCCATTGATTGCAGTATGCCTCGTGGGGAATCATGATCTTCCTGTATGTACCTATACACCCTGCTCAGTTGGAATCCAGACCTTCGTGCCCTTTTGATCGCAGTATCCTCCATGGGATACCTGTTGGGATATTCTCCCTGTATATGGAGAATCTCCGCACTTAGCGAAAACGACTTTCATCATTGTGTTTGCTTAGTTGAGAGGTTGCGTTAATTACTTGGTAAATAATAAAATTGTACTATGTAATTATTACTAGTAATAATTGTGTGGGAAAAAGCTGCTTGTACAGCCGCCATGCAAACAAACCTTGTGGAAATTGCAAGGTGATTGTGTAAATAAACCTTCGAACAGAGTAGGTGAGACAAATCGTGAAATGAGCCTATGAAAAGTATTTAAAGCCGAGCATTTTCATTTTATTTTCAAATTCGCATTCGATCATGTCACAACAAGATAATACTGTGAGTAGTACATCAGAGAATTGTGATGTTTTATCAGAGCAATCGTTTGACTTCGTGGACGAGTACCACTGTGTGATTGAAGAAATTTCCTGCCAAGATAAAATAATCCAAGTCGATGAAGTTTTCGAAAATGGTGAAGAATCAGTGGTCCATGTCAGCAGTCCCATTTACGGGAGTCCATATGAAGCTCCTCTAAGTGATTCACCGCTGGAGACTTATCTGACTAGTAACATATGTTATAGTAATAATCTTTGGATACAAAAACACACAATTTCGGTGACACAATTTCAAGAAGACCTCGAAGCACTTTCATGAGTTGTCGAAGATGAAATAATTAACTTCTCACTCGGACGTATCTCAAATTTACTTGGGGTAGTGTCTACGAGTATGATTAATGGTGAATTTATACATGACTTAACTTAGTCCTAACTTAAGTACTAGGAACGGTGATTAGTCAATTTCAGATAGAATCAAATGTGATACTTTGTTCAACAAGCAATATTTGCGTTTGCGAGTTTGAATCCACCAATCACCGTCCCTAATATTCAAGTCAGAACTGATTTAGATCCTGCATTAATTTTCCATTAATGGATAATGGGTAAAAATAAAGTGATTCAGAAAAGATCTCACCATGTGCTGATCAATATTTATTCGTGAAGTTGGGTACATCTATCTGAAACAAGAGAATAAAATCATAATTATTTCAATAAACTGAAGAAATAAAGTGGCATTCCAAAGGTACAAAAAAAAAGTTTCACTGCGACTAAGGAAATTGAATATAGAACTTGATTGACAAAATATTTTCAAGCGAAAATATATGAAGGATTACCTAATTAATCAAAACATCCCAGACCACGACGAACGGGCAGTCATGCAAATATTTGAGACGGTAACTGCCATAATTCCCCAGCTCCTCAGTAAACTGGATCCCTGGATCCTCTTCGCTTATGATGAGAACTATTATATGATCCTAAGGAAGAATGAATGTTCCAATTATCCTTGCCAAGAGAATAGTTATATCTAATTAAAGGTAGGTATTGAGAAAAAAAAAAGATACTCACAACTAAAGCATCTGGCAACCTGCTCCTTATTACGTTAGCTGGTATAGGTTCTGGAAGATGAAATAATAAAAAAAAAACTTTCAGAACAGGAAAACCTTATAAAAAAAAATTGGATTCCATCAAAATTCACAACATATTCATTTTGGATGATAAAACAGTCACAAAAAATACTCACCCATCTTTGATGTGTTGATAGTTAGGAATATTCTAGGACAAATTGGATATTGCCATTTTATAGATGCACTATAGCAAATACTGCACTTCTGCAAACAATATGCATAGATAATTATACTGATCATTTATTTAACCCTGAGAGTTTTTATTTTTCTGATGTACAATGATTATACCACCGTCCGAATGGAGCAATAAACATATCTTAATTTTTTTTCCTTTAATGACATCGTCCAGCTTTCGAAGTTATTCAATTGATACAGGCAAAGATTACACATACAGGTAATGTTGATATTGTACAATTTCATTATTTACCAAGTAATTAACGCAACCTCTCAACTAAGCAAACACAATGATGAAAGTCGTTTTCGCTAAGTGCGGAGATTCTCCATATACAGGGAGAATATCCCAACAGGTATCCCATGGGGATACTGCGATCAAAAGGGCACGAAGGTCTGGATTCCATCTGAGCAGGGTGTATAGGTACATACAGGAAGATCAGGATTCCCCACGAGGCATACTGCAATCAATGGGGCATACTGCAATCGATATAGAATAGTACAATCCATATAGGGAATTCTGCGATCACAGAGGGTTTGATCGTGGTCACCGCTTTGAATACCTACTGGAAGGGCCTAGCACGAGATTAGCAGCGTCCAAAGTGAGTACTGATCCCTTTTTTTCCCAACTATGGGGCCACTTGATGTCGAACACAAATGATAGAGGTACTTACATTGCTACAAATGATAGAGGTACTTACATTGCTACCAGTACTGCTAACAAACTCGCCGGGGGGATGATGTGTCCGGGATGGGCCATCTCATGAGTCTCGATACGAACGCCACTCAATTACTCAATTTTGACTGTTACGAGACTGAATTTGGAATGAATCTCAACTGACTTTTGAATCAACCTAGACTGAATTTCGAATGACTGTAAACTCAATTTGGAATCCATCTAGGCTGAATTTCGGCTGGATTTGTAATCCCCGCCGGCCACAGTGTGGTCCGTATTTATTTGCGGACGGTTTGCTTTGTTTGCTAAAACTTCTCAAAACTACCTAAATTGGTGCCAGGTCGTGAAACTCCTGAGTTCAACGATCAATTTCATGTTTTGCAAACCGTTCGATTTTTTGTCGACGCCATTGAATTATTTGAAGTGAATTAAAATTTAATTGTTTGATTATTTGACATGACCTGGATCTGAAGGTGTATTGACTCTGATATACTGAGTGGTACCATCCGTGACAATATAATCAATTTTGTCCTTCATTGAAATATTGAAATATGGTCAGTGGCGTACTTAAAAGTTAAATTAATTTTCATCAAGAAGAATGTGAAATATCGATCTCCCTGTATATTGAATAAATTGGTATGACATGGTTTTTATGCACATTCATGATAGTAAATTGCCCTACAAATTTTCTTGCATTTTCGAATAGAGGTAAGTTGATTTCAATCAGTATATTTTGGTCTCTAGTTCACCCTGTAGGATATATGGTAACATGTTCTGGGACACCTTGTATAAGCAATAAGAGGTGTGTACCCCATTTGTTCCAAAGTCCGAACAACAAATGTATGATCGAAGGTTCCAACAATGATGGATTGATCATAAGTATTTTTATTTTCATCCTGATGATGAGTCGAGACATGTAGCGTTCATTAAAAATTGTTTGGAGTTTTTCCCCTTGATTATAAACAGAAATCAATTACCTTTGATAATTCATCAATTTTAAGCATATGAGTTGAATATCACCTGTATATCAAGAAATCTTTCATCTGTAAGATATTTCACAGTCTCATTGTCACCTTTTTCAGATGTCCTGGAAGCAGTGGCTCTCATCAATAAGAAAGAGCTGTTGGACAAAATGGAGCGACACAAGCCGATGCTGCGTAACCAGAAGGGATGCGATCGAATCATTCGAAATTTCGAGAGTTTGAAAATCGAAGAAATTGATTGTTGATGTTTTCATTTTGTTGTCAAGCGAGTTACCGTTTTACTTTCGAGACACAATGGCAGTTAGTAAGTGTTGAAAAATTCAGTGTGCGGCCTTGTCGAATTTTTAACGGGGTGTACTTTTTTTTAGATACTTACAGCACTTGATAGGTATGCAGAAGAAACATATCTGTGTACCTGAGATTTGAGGTTAGAATTCACTGAAGTTGTTATTTTATAGCACATGAGATAATATTTTGAATTTGAGGGCGCATAGCAAGGTGCAATGAATAAATGACAAAACAACAGAAATGGAATATCATTTTTATTTTAAATTTTCTGAATTTAGAGGTTTTGTGAAAATCGAAGAAATTAATTGTTGATGTTTTCATTTTGTTGTCAAGCGAGTCACCGTTTATTTACTTTTAAGACACAATGACAGTTGGTGAGTGTTGAAACATTTAGTTCGCGACCCTGTCGGATTTCCAACGGGGTGTACTTTTTTCCAGATACAGCACTTGGTAGGCATGTAGATAAAAAAAAATCTGTGTTAGTGTAGCTGAGATTTGAGGTTAGAATTCACTGAAGTTGTTGCACATGAGACAATATTTTGAATTTGGGGGCACAGGTATTATCAACGATATATGGCTTCCGCAATCTATTGAAAAATATGGTGAAACCTTAGCCGTGGCACTTGATATCTCCAAGGCATTCGATCGAGTCTGGCACCACGGATTCCTCGCTAAGCTTCCATCATATTGCTTGCCTCCCCAGCTATGTTCTCTGCTAGCTAGTTTTCTCTCAAACAGGTCTCTCCATGTAGTGGTCGATGGAGTTTCATCTGACTCTCTTACCATAAATGTTGGTGTTCCACAAGGATCAATTCTAGCTCCAACACTATTTCTACTCCATATCAACGATTTGTTGGAAGCAACTGCATGTCCAGTGGCAGTACACAGTTTCGCGGATTATAGTACCCTCCATACCGCCTTCTCTTTCAAGGCTCCAATAACAGCCAGACAAATCAGAAACAAACGAGGGAGAAATGTTGACAACATAAATATGGCCTTGGCAACAATTCTCGAATGGGGATAATAACTTGGTAGATTTCAATGCGAACAAAACAAGCATGCCTTTTCTCTAGAAAAGTCGATCTCACTGTGCCCAACATAAGCTTTTCAGGAGTAACCATACCTTTGAAGACATCCATTTCGTTGCTTGGTATTACTATCAGCAATAACCTTCCTCGAAAAAATCACGTGAGATCAATTACTAAAAGTGCATCCCAAAAACTTGGTTTTCTGTTTCGTGCCAGGAGCTATTTCACTTCCAGTCAGCTGCTTATGATCTATAAGGCACATATTTGACCTGTCCTGGAATACTGTTCCCATATTTGGAGTGCAGCATCCATACATCCCCTGAAACTGATGGATTCTGTCCAAAAAGGGCAATTCGTCTCGTGGATGATGCCTCGCTCACAAACTCACTCACTTCTCTGGAGCACCGTAGAAATGTTGGCGATCTGGCTCTATTTTATAAATATTTTCATGGACGATGCTCTTCTGAAATATCAACAATTGTTCCTCTCTTGGCAGTCCCCGCGAGATTAACCCGTCGAGTTGAGGCTTCGCACCCCTTCGTGGTCACTTTGGAGACCTGCAGAACATCTCTTTCCAAAGACTCGTTCATCAAACGAACAGCGAGGCTCTGGAACACATTGCCAAGGGAGGTGTTCCCCGAGGCATATAACCTCCAGAAATTCTGAGAAGAACACCAATTCCTATCTCATTTCCCATGAAAAGAGATATCCTGTACTGTTCAGAGAACATCGTGAGAACCAGAACATAAAAAAACATAGCTGGTGCAATAAATAAATGACAAAACGAAACAGAAATGTAATATGCTTTCATTTTATATTTTGGCCTCCATTCTCTATTATCGAATCATTAGGAATTTAGAGGGTTTGAAAATCAATGAAATTGATTTTTGATGTTTTCAATTTGTTGTCAAGCAAGTTACCGTTTTACCTTAGAGACACAAAGCCATTTAGTGAGTGTTGTAAAATTTTTACGCAGTTCTGTCGAATTTTTCACAGGGTGTACCTTTTTCTAGATACAACACTCGATAGGTATGTAGAAGAAAACATCTGTGTAGCTGAGATTTGAGGTTAGAATTCATTGAACATTGTTTTTTATAGCACATGAGACAAAATTTGGAATTCGAGAACACATAGCAAGGCGCAATGAATAAATGACAAAACTACAGAATTAGAATATCATTTTTATTTAAAATTTTCGAAATTTCGATTATTTTAGAAAATCGAAGAAATTGATTGTTGATATTTTCATTTTGGTGTCAAGCGAGTTACTTACCTTTACTTTCGAGACACAATAACAGCTAGAAAGTGTTGAAACATTTCTGTGTAGCACAATGAAATTGTGAACAAACCACTATTTATTATTCCACCGGCCGTTAAACAATCTAAACAGGTGGTGGCTGTAAACATGAACTTTTCAATTGTCATCTGAATACCATTAAATCAAAATAATGGAGGATGGGATTACGAAGTTTTTTTCGTAATCCCACGATGTTGGGATTTTTCTGTAGTTACGAGGTACGTGATTTGTTCTTTCCTCGGAATCAATGGAATCTCAGCAGGAACAACACACGGCCTATATACGCATCCGTTATTTGCTAAATATATCGGCCTTGTATACGTTAATAACTATATAATCAAACTGCAAATTTAAAAATGCCTGTGTGGCCTATCCATGGATAATGATCATATCCAGTTATCCCTGTAATATATGTACTAAGTATGGTGGTTGTCATATGCATAGCGACAATCTAAAAGTTTGAGCTCCGTATTAAGAAAATTCAGTTCACGAATTGATCATTCAATCGGAAACTACCAATAATTACCCAGTAGCCATGAAATTCAACTTGTCTCAGACATTAAGTCCGTATGACACGGACCAGTTTTTCACTCATAAAATGGATCATTATTGAACATAATAAAACAATCAGAACAATCTGAATTATTTTCTGTGGGAAAATTATGTGCTGTCGTGTGACACGACATAAGATCACAGTTAAGATATTGTGACAAGGGGCATGCGCATGTTATGAAATAATAAAATAATTATGCAGATGCACATGTTGGTTGTGCGAGTATATAGTATACTCAAAAAATATTTTTGGAAGAAGAGATTCATAATTGAAGAAAGGTATGAGTCATGGTTCCTTTTGAAAAATATATGTGCTATGCTTTTGAATATGAAGAAAATGAGCACCTTCATGGAAACTCTGTATTATACAGGGTGTTTCACAGGTAAAGGGAAATATTTCAATGGTAGATAGGGGTCACCAAGGTGGTTCTGAAAATACCATATTTGATAGGTCTTAGAGTTTTCATAACGGAGATACAGGGCGATTTATCGATTTCGAATAATTATTCATTCGTCTAGTAGTAGTAGTTCACTACCCAGTATATTTTTCTAAAATTTGGTATGGATCTTAAACTTGGGACGTTGAATTCATTCACCTATCGGGCGAAGAGAAAATCCAGGTTCGACTTCAGGAAAAATTCACATTTATTCGAAATATTAAAATAACACACTGTATGTAATAATTGACAGAGTTCATCAAAGGAATCGTGAAGAGGAGGAAAAACAACTGGATTTGATGATTTTTGTTTTCCCGCCACCAATTCTCATCGTAACAATCATAAACAGAAAGCTGAAACCAGTGTCAATTATGATTATTCGATTTATTTTGGTCAAAAAATCGCTCGAAAGAACTTACTACGTCTCACAGTTTTTATAACGGAGATACAGGGTGAATTATCGGTTTTGAATAATTATTCATTCGTCCATAAGTATAAAACTATCCAGTAACATTTCCTCAAATATGGTATGTAGCTTACTTGGGACGATGGATTCATTAACCTATCAGGCGGAATTATAATTCAATAATTCACCCTGTATCTCTTTTATTAAGACTATGATACTTTTCCTGAAGCTGAACCTGTATTTCCATTCTGCCTGATAGGTCAATGAATCCATCGTCCCAAGTGATGCGATGGGTAGTTTAATACTTATGGACGAGTGATAATTCACCCAGTATATCTGTTATAAAGATTGTGAGACTAAGTAAGTTCTTTCGAACGATCATTTTACAAGAATATATCGAATAATCATAATTGAAAGTGGTTTCATAATTTTAATACTCTTGAAATTGACATACTTTTAGCTTCCTGTTTATGATTGTTACGACGAGAATTGGTGGCGGGAAAACAAAAAGCATCAAATCCAGTTCAGTTTTTCCTCCTCTTTACGATTCCTTTGATGAACTTTGTCAATTATTACATACAGTGTGTTATTTTAATATTTCGAATAAATTTTAATTTTTCCCTGAAGCCGAACCTGGATTTTCACTTCGCCCGATAGGTGAATGCATTCAACGTCCCAAGTTTGAGCTCCATACCAAATTTTAGAAAAATATACTGGGTAGTTCAATACTTATAGACGAATGAATAATTATTGGAAATCGATAAATCGCCCTGTATCTCCGTTATGAAAACTCTTAGACCTATCAAATATTGTATTTTCAGAACCACCTTGGTGACCCCTATCTACTATTGAATTATTTCCCTTTACCTGTGAAACACCCTGTATAAGTATCTACAAATTTCATATGAATGAATAGATAGATAGATAGATTTATTGATCACGTTACATACAATGTGTATATTTGTGACATGTCAACTAAAATAACGATTGGAAAAACTTAAATTAGATGAAATAGATTTTTATATGTATAAATGTGACACTTAAAAATACAGATTAAAAGCAGAAGACAAATACATGCATATATAAAATAGAATAATAAATCACAATCACTAAAAAGCTAAAATCTAAAATCTAAAATCATAGCTGTCACTCTAGCACTAGGTCAGAAAGAGGGGTTGACAGGTACTCCTCAACTGAATAGTAGCTGGTCTCAATCAACATCTTCTTCACTTTTTTTTGGAATTGCATAAGTGGTAATTGCCTGCAGTGTTCTGGTAATTTATTGAATATATTAACATTCACTGTGTTCTTGGCAGACGTTGTCAATCTGAATCTAGGATTTTGTATCATACTACAATTCCTAGTATTGTAAGAATGAACATCGCTGGAAGAGGTGAATTGTTGTAAGTTTTTTCGAATATAAGTGAGAGATTGAAATATACAGGGTGATTCAAAAGTAAGCGGCATCCTTTCAGAGGCGTATTCCTTGCATGAAAATAAGGCAAAAAGTTCCTATTGATAAGGATCCGAAAATGCTTCCTAAGGGAGCTACGGCCCTTTGAATAGGACACCTCAAAGACGGTTTTTTCTCTATAACTTTAAAATCCTTCACAACAAATTTTTAAAAATTGGTGTACGGCATAAACATTCGATGGTAAATAGGACTCCGTATTCGAAATAATTTCCAAACGAAATCACAGTAACCTGAATATCCGGAGAAGAAGGGATATTTTTACACTTACCCTCTCCCGCATGTGACGCCCCTGAATGAAATTCTGAAATTTCGAATACGGAGTCCTATTTACCATCGAATGTTTATGCCGTACACCAATTTTTAAAAATTTGTTGTGAAGGATTTTAAAGTTATAGAGAAAAAACCGTCTTTGAGGTGTCCTATTCAAAGGGCCGTAGCTCCCTTAGGAAGCATTTTCGGATCCTTATCAATAGGAACTTTTTGCCTTATTTTCAAGCAAGGAATACGCCTCTGAAAGGATGCCGCTTACTTTTGAATCACCCTGTATAGAGTGAGGGCAAAGTCATGATTTTAAATTGTTCGAAGTAAGGTCTGCAGGATACCCTGGGCCCCACTCCGGCAATTATCCTGATTGCCCGTTTTTGATATACAAAAACTCTATTTGCATGGGATGAGTTCCCCCAGAGTGTTGTACCATAAGATATATGTGAATGAAAGAGAGAGAAATAAGCTATTTTCAATATGTCGAAACTTAATGATTTCTTTAATGTTCTCAACAGAAATAATTGGCTGGTCAATCTCTTACATAGAAGATTAATGTGAATTGTCCAATTTAGTCTGTCATCAAGATGTATTCCTAACAACTTGGCACATTCATTGTTTCTGATAAGTGTATTTGTGCTGAAGATAATGTTTTGATTCTTTGATAAATTCTGTTTGAGGTTATTTGGAATAAGCCATTCATCAATTTCAGATATAATATCCACATCAGTTTTCCTTAATGTAATAGGATTCGAATTCGAATGGTAAAAAGTTGCATCATCTGCAAACATTATACAATTCACAAAATTCATGTGAAAAAATAGGTCATTGACATAGATAATAAATAACAGAGGTCCCAGTACTGAGCCCTGAGGAACTCCGTGTTTGATTGATCTAGGTTTTGATGATTTAGCATTATAATAAATACTTTGTTTCCTATTTGCTAGATACGATTTGAAAAATTCTAAAGCAACTCCTCTAACTCCATAGTGCTCAAGCTTGTCTATCAAAATCCGATGAGAGACACAGTCAAAAGCCTTGCTGAGGTCACACAGAGTCGCAGACGTATGTTGTCCCTCCTCAAAGCCGCCGACCACATCCTCCACCAACTTTGTGACTGCTATAATGATAAGTTCACTTCTGTTCTGGACAAAATAAACTAAAGATGAAAAGAGTTTGGTAGGTACTCAATCCACATTTCCTCATTGTCAAAGTATAAAGTATGTCAAAGTGTCTACTCGAGCGATTCTGGGTGTTTGATTGCAAATAAACAGAGTTATTTTTGGTATTCTTCAATTAGGCTCTCCAAAGATTTTTCAAATAATTCCAAAATGACATCTGGTTGGCAAAAACACCAGAGACACGTTTGTTTACTTGGGGACTTTGTGGATTTTGGAAGCAAAACAAAACACACAATTCGAAGGTTAAATAACGGCGTTATGCGCAAGCGCTTCAACTTAAAATGAATGAAAAATAGGACATGTTCTATTTTTCATCCAATTTTGCAGTCAGGCTATCTGTTTCTGTGATACACGGTGCAGTAAATTCTGAATACAAATTCTCATTCAGAAAATGGATGAAAAACTGGCCCGTGTCATACGGACTTTAGTGGAAATTATCGGAATGAAAATAATAGTATATTACATATTGGGTTGGCGACGAGTGCGTGATTGCTTTTCAACAAGCATTAGGTACTATACTTAACGTACTGCCATATAGTAAATGGAGAAAGTTTGGATAAACAATCTGAATTATAATTATTCATCCGCTGTTGGCGGCGATTACGCATCATTACATACCTATACTGGCGGAATAAACGAAAGTAGGTACCCCGGTAGGATGGCTCACCCCCTCCACTCCACTTTTCTCCAAACCACGTGACTCGGCTAGCCAATCACAGGCCGGCTTGACTCGGCTAGCTACTCGCGGCCCCACGAGCGGCGCGAAATTCAAATATTGGATGGAAATATAATGAATAAAAAAAATTGGGCTGTGCGGGCGAGGAATCGAACCCCGGCCACCGGACTGCGAGCCCGAAACGCTACCATGGCGTCACACCACTAGACGAATTTGTGTACGAGTTTGCTTGTGGGGATTGAACTCGAGACCCTTGCATTATAGAGCAACGTATATACGTACTGTGGTCCATGAAAATGCCACTATGAGAATCGTATTCAAATGGGACCGGCGAACAAAGCTATAGGTTCTAGATTTATTTATTACAACGAAATAAAATTATATTTTTGATAAGAATAGTGTACTATTACCTTTCATTTTGTTATTGTGGATGTGTTATTGTCAATCTTATCATCAACTAGCGGGTAGCCAGCTCGTCGTCGTACGTCATATGTCGATACGCCATTTGCCAAACGACGAAATGCAGATTACGGAGCACAATATCCGATTTCTTCAAACGGCTGGCAACGTCGACATGCTAGCGTTCTGCCGCTCTCCAGAGTCTTGTCGCTTATCAAAAATATAATTTTATTTCGTTGTAATAAATAAATCTAGAACCTATAGCTTTGTTCGCCGGTCCCATTTGAATACGATTTTCATAGTGGCATTTTCATGGGCGCCTGAATACCACAGTACGTATATACGTTGCTCTTTAATGCAAGGGTCTCGAGTTCAATCCCCACAAGCAAACTCGTACACAAATTCGTCTAGTGGTGTGGCGCCATGGTAGCGTTTCGGGCTCGCAGTCCGGTGGCCGGGGTTCGATTCCTCGCCCCGCAGCCCAATTTTTTTTATTCATTATATTTCCATCCAATATTTGAATTTCGCGCCGCTCGTGGGGCCGCGAGTAGCTAGCCGAGTCAAGCCGGCCTGTGATTGGCTAGCCGAGTCACGTGGTTTGGAGAAAAGGGGAGTGGAGGGGGTGAGCCATCCTACCGGGGTACCTACTAACGAAAACTGTGCGATGTGCTTACTGCGCGTAAAGAGCTACTTACTGGGGCTGTATCTCGTATGTTCTTGCCTACTTTTTATAGTGGCTGGTAATGGATATTTACGATAAGAGTATCGTAGATTCATATTACAATACGATGTGGGAAATTTGTCAAACAAGGCAGAGTTTGATAACAAATCGATTATCGTAATATGAGTTTACAATACGAATATAATACAATATATTACCTACTACCAGTAAGCTAATTATTTAATCAAAAATATTCAATATATTCCTTGAACTGACGATACATTAGGAATATGAAACAAGCAAGGGTTGGGCGTATGGTTGTGGGGAATCTACTGTTCTCGGTTGTCACTCATTCGGAACTTTAAAGGTATGTTCATGCTTGCACAAATTTCACAAAATTTATGCGAATCGCAAAATATGAAATTTCGACAGAATTTGACGTTCATACTCATGCGACAAAATATGCGGGAGATAAGGGTTCTGTTGTGATATTAATTTCTTTATTTCTGGTCCCACCATTGATAGAAGTTCATCAGATTGAAGGCACGTTACACGAAAGTAAAAATATTTATAGGGTCATTCAGTCGCATTTATCGAACGAGTCTGTACCAATCTCCATTCATTTTTCGGCATTTGAAAATGCTTCGAACAGTACGCGGCCACATTTTTATGCTTCTGGATACATCATTATAGTTCTATAGAGACGATACAGATACTTTAAAATTAATTCGTCCAGAGAATCCATCCTGCGAAGAAAATTCAATCAAATGAAGGAATGATGAAATGTTAAATTATAATTCTGTACTCACCTGTAGTCTGTCTAGTCTCGCCTTTTTTTGACCTCTGCAGTCCGCTCTCTAATTCCCCAATTTTGATGTCATCAAAATAACAATACATTTCAGGTGGTTCCATCAGATGATTCCATCCGAATTCGCAAAAAAATTCAAATATTTCGCAGTCGCCATTTTATTCGCATAAATTTTGCGGGATTCGTACAAGCATGAACACCTTCATGCGTTAATTTCAAATCGACAAAAAATTCATCGGCCTAAATTCCAATATAGAAATTGCGGCGAATACAGCAATCGAAACTTAACTGTAGTACTTGCTATATTCATGATAAATTGGTTTTCTTTTTTGAGCAAAAATAAAATTTGAAATAATATTATTTTCACTTGACCACACTAGTGCGATACATTTACTAAAATCAGTGTCGTAATGTTTCACATTACATACTGGTGGTTTACCAATTGTTATTGTTAGGAAACTGGGATTGAAATCGGTCCTTCGAGCCGGATATATTATTCCGATGCCAACAATAAACCTATGAGGTGTGTATTCAATTGTCAATATCACAATTATTAGTTAAGACATTGATCCTCAATAGGGTTCATCAACGATCGATTTCGAATACATCAATAATACTTGGATAATACGAAATCGACGGAAAAATATATTTTCGTCAAGGTATTTGCCAGAGCGAAATAACCAACACCATCATCGTCAACGTACTTTATTCTTAATACCAACATCAAGAACAATAACTATCACTTCAAGAACTCGCGGTGGTAGCTGCGGCCGTCGCCGGAGCGGCCGCTGTCTCCTCCTTCACCCTGTCCTTTTTGAGCGGGCCCATAAAGGCCACCTTGTCAGCCGCCGTCTGGAACCGACCGTGACCGAACTTGGACGAGGTGTCGATGAACTTGAGGTTGATCTTCTCCAAGGCGACTCGTTTCGTGTGCACCAACAAGGACTGGAATAGAAAATGATTCATGAAGTGCGTTTCACTTTGAGCAGCAGTTTCCAAGTCATTGACCGATCTCGAATTTCCAATTTTTTCAAAAAAAAAAAAAAAAAAAAAACAGCAAATAAAGAATTCGCATTCTCTATGTGATGAAAATATCAATTCTTTCTCGGTCTACTTTCCTGACCTTTACAATACAAAGACGTTTTTTATTTTTATTTATGTTATGTTATTTGTTGTAACCGTTCATCAGGTTCCTTCTCCGGAAACTTGATTTCATAGGAGTACTTGGTCCATTTCTCTGGATGTAACTATTTTCCATATCATAGTTTTAATTAAATTCGACGTTTTGAAGTGTGTCAAAAACATCAGTATTTCTGGATATAACAATTCATACGACTACTTGATGTAGACACTGCCGTGTCCCTGGATATAAAGAATGATCATAGCTAAAGGAATAAAAATATGTGATTCATTCCTGGAGAAGATCGAATTGTTTTGAAAATTCCGACCTTCCTTCTACAGGATGAGGAATATCGATGTTTCTCAAACACTGTTTTTTTCCTCATTTCAAAGAATTTAAAAAAGCTAATGTAATTCATTCCTGGAGATATCCACGTGGCTTGGAAACTTCTTCAAACTTCCTAGAATATTAACTCAGGAATACCTGGAAATATCAGTTACTACAGTACTTCACGATTTTTTTTATAATTTGTATATCGCTACTTCAAAGTTGGGAACCAACTCCCCAGGAGTCGAAACTTGTGCGGGGTTAGGAAGAGCGGGACCTACAGCTTATAGTGGAATCCGAACCACTTCTAGGGCATCTAGTACTGAATAATCAACGAATAGCACTGAATAATCCACGAATATTACTGAATAATCCACAAATGCCCCCTTGCGGCTCCTGGAATTGATTTATTATTCAGAGATCTCAAATTATTCAAAAAACGAAGAGTTTATCGAAAAACATTGATAATTGACCTCCTGCAAGGAAAACCCGTTTCGAGATGTGGACTTGAAAATTTGAATATGAGAGTTCCCAAGCCATTTTTGAACAATGAATCTCAAACAGAATTCAAATTTCAAATTCAAATATTCTTTATTGTCAGAAGATATTGCATCCCATTGACAAAGGTTTGTAAGTACATGTAAATATAAACATAACTAATAGTGTATAGACGCCCTTTTGAACACTGCATTCCGATTGATCAGTTTATTTTCAAAATAAGTTATCGCATCTTGGAAAAGCGTCGAAAATTTTAGTGGGTCTACTTTCAGCACTGTATAATAGAATATCAATGAATAACAGCCATTACAAAATAGAATAGACTAAATCTCACTACTTTTTGCGCTTGAACGTAAAATATGCTCATTTTTTTGAATATTAGCAATAGTTTTAGAATGGCATGTGGTCCTACATCTGTAATCTCAAGAACTCACATGGTACAGAATAGATGGATCGGCTGTTCAGTACCTGTGTCAGAAATTCCTGAGACTAAGTCAATCAATCAATCAAATTTATTATTCCCAAGAAACAACATTTGTTTATAGCAGGGAACATAGTGAATACATAAATATATTTGACAAAATAAAACAAGTGAAGCAAATATAGAAGATTATATTACTTATATCGTAATCAATTCCTCTGAATGAGAATATCGAAAAAAAAAGAGATTTGATACTGTAGTGAACATGGTTTATCAGAGTGTCATCGTCCAGGGACTACACAACTGAATATGGAATATGTTCACATTGCCTCCCGAAGGGCATTTTTTCTATGACACTGCAGCAGAGACCCCAATGAATTGAAAGGTCCCCGGGCCGCCAGCCGGAGGGTAAGCTCCTACACTGATCGTGTCAAGAAAAAAAAAAAAAAAAACAGCCACGAACTTTTCCATCTTTGGGGTTCTTTGTTCATTCCAAAAACTAAATATCAAATGATTCTTCCAAATAGGTCTACATAAAAAAAAAGCTATGATGGTGGACCACTTCTAAATCGGCCACTATCATAGACATATAAAGAGGGAGATGACATTGTTTACATTGTTTTTAGCAGAAAACGATCTGCGAATTGCCTTAGATCTCCCGTCTGAGTTTGAAAACCAGAGAAGCAGTAACTATACATTAATTATGTTATAGTTTTTTCTTCATTTTTATTCTGTTTGTCCCTCAATTGAAATTATGTGAATTCTGCTATTCAAATAATGTAAATTTTACTAATTTCATTATAACATAAAATAATAATGTATAATGGAAATAACAGTGGCAACGCTTTGTGGTAGCATTTATTATTACAGTGCTGTTTTGTGTTTGTTACCATTTGAGGACTTTGACGTTTCAAGCGATTCTCTTTTTTTTTTCTTGTGTGCCGTCGGATTTGGACAGTGGTGGAAAGGAACTATTAGTGAAATTTCTTCCGACCGCTTTAGCAAGGGACCAAAACGAACGGGAGCCATTGGGGCAATCTATAAGTTTCGATCTTATCTTGGCATTGTATGTTTCTTTCGAGGCATCTATTGTTTGGCTGCAGTTATTCCTGGCATCAACGTATTCTGCTCTAGTCGCGAGGTTAGGGTTTTTGCGCCAGCGATGGTAGGCTATTTGTTTCAAGGCAACAGTTCTAGAACAGTTTTGGTTGAACCAGGGTTTCGATGGTGATGATCTTTTCGAAAAATGAGGTATGTATGTGTCCATTCCGAGCATGATGATCTCGGATATTTCCGCAGCACACTGTGAAGGGTCCTCAGAGTCAAAGCATACTCTATGCCAAGGAAACTCGGAGAAAAACATGCTTCATTTTCCTCCTAGTTTTTTGGTTCACTTTTAAATGATAATGATAGGTAGAAAATGTAAAAAGAGATTTTTAATTAGTGTTTCTGATGAAATAATGTAGGGTATCTAATGCTTTTATCTTGAATATTTTATATGAGCAATTTTTTGCCAAACAACTTATCTTGGTGATATACATGGTGATCCATGGTGGATGGCCTATTAGAAGTAAAAGGAGAACGAAAAGACAGAACATTCAGAAAATTGGGATGCATTGATAATTCACCCTGTATTTTATTTCATTTTTGGATTTTTCCTGAAGAGCTGATTTCATCAATGTATCACACTTTCGGTCTAGCAGAGCAGGAGATATAGGGTGTTGTATGTATTGATCCACATGTCCCTATCACAACTTTTGATTCCCTATCTACTGGAATTTAATTGGAAAAAATACAGGGTGCTTCAAGATTCAGAATTCTGATCACCATTTATTTGTTTCATGTCAGTAGATAGTGGATCGCAAGTTAGGATAGGAACATAGTGAGCTGTTTCGATCGAAAATGAATAGTTTGGACACAAAAAAATCCTAAAATTGAATAATCTCAATTTTGAACACCCTATATCTCTGTAATCATTTCCGCTAGACCCCAAGTGTGATACATCGATGAAATCAGCTCTTCAGAGAGAATCTAAAAATGCTATAAAATACAGGATGCTTCATTCAACACTGTATCACTGAAAATATTTTAGATGGATAGATAATGTTTAATTATCAAAGCATCCCAATTTTTAGAATGTTCTGTCTTCTTGTTCTCCAGATACTTCTAATAGGCCATCTACCGTGGATCACCCTGTATATCCTAATAAACGATTATCAACAACCTACTGCGGATCGTGAATCGAAAAAAAGTTCACCACTCAATCCACAAATTAGTATTTAGATGGTAAGTTAGGTTATGGTTTTTTTCGCAGTGGTCTCTGATGTAGTTATTGCAGCTATTCAACCAAATGATTGCAAAAACTTCGTGCCTTTAATTTGAATTCCTATGAATGATAGATCAAAATATGGGGAGTACCTAAGGTATTATATTTGGTATCAAAATTGAAAGATTAGACTCAAACAGTCTCTTTGCTCCTCGCTTAAACTGCGTGACTAGTTAAGAAAAGTGTAAACATTGACGCACAGTTCACAGTGATGCCAATTTTTAAAGCCATCTCTTTCTAACATATTTGAAACTTTGGAAGTATGTATGATTGTAAACAAATAAAGAGTTTTATGAATGAAATGTTATATCTCCCCTCTTTTTATTCGTCTATGGTCACTCTGTACTTGAATTGAAAAAAAAATTTTTTTTTTCATCATCAAACAGCCCTTAAGACAAAGGAAACGTTCGTTTCTTGTAGGTCCAATCCAAATCTAAACAACAAAAAAAGCCCACTCACCTTCCTGAGAGTGATGACACGCTTCTTGGGCCCCACGCAGCACCCCTTGATCATGACGAAATCGTTGTTGACCTCACCGTAGTGAGGGAACCCGCCCATGGGCGTGATGGTCTTCTCGCTGAGGTCGTAGGCCGTGGAGGCGTTGTTCTTGATGACCTGAAACGATGATGAGACAACGTCGAGGTCAGTGATGTTTTATAAGCAAGCTCTCAAGATTAAGAGATGACAAAATATCAGTCCTATCATTCAAGATCATGGATTATTCATAATCCTTTTGGCTCTAGGGTATCATCATAAAAAATTGTGAAAATACTGTTTGCAACAAGTTCAAATCACCCTGTAAATGAATGAAACATCTTCATCATCAAGCGATTGAAGCGGATACTTATTCGTCAAGAACGAGTTGAACATAACATTATTCTGAGTTACTAAATGTGTCCTATCATTCAAGATCACGGAGTATTCATAATCCTATTAGCTCTAGGGTATCATAAAAAATAGTGAAAATAGCGTTTGTACTCCAAAAATAAATGAAACATCTATTGAGAATATCGAGATGCCATATCACAAGATGGCGATTCTTCGCATTCGTCATCATCATGCGATTGAAGCGGCACTTTCATCAGCATCAGATCGAATCTGTCGTTGATGTGTTATTTTCATAAACTGTCATTGTTGTACAGGGTGATTCGAACTTCCCGCCCTTGGCTTTTCAACAGGAAAAAGGAAAACAGCAAATACAAATTCGACAGAGGATATTTAAATAGCTCTGTGTGAGGTATATTTTTTCATATGTGAACATTTTTCAACCTCCTTCAAAATGCCGGACTTGGCGTCAGAAAAAACATTCTTCCCACAATTTTACCATTTTTTCCATATTTTGAAAGAAAGTATCTTTTAAAACAAGTTTCATTCAAAAAGTTTTTTCAATCTTGATTTGGTTGATGGCAATGGGACAAGTTGGCGTTCTCAAATAAATCTCAACTGACCCCGCCGAAATAAAAATGAAGTTGAAGGGGGTTTTAGTTTTAATATGAATGCAAAATGTATCCCAATTCATATTGTTTAAAAAAAATTGTTCGGTTCCGCAAAACATAGTTATGAGTAGAAAATGCTCACAAAATCACGACCTTCATCTTGAAAATAGTGCATGAGAACTTTTTAAAAAACAAATAATTATTTTTGCCTTCATGCTTGCTCGGGTATGAACGTAGGTTTGTATTTTGGATATTTTGAATATATTTTTCTTTCAATTGATTTCATTGCAATAATAAATTGAAATAATCATTTGTCAATCCACTCATAAAATGTACCCTGAAGATAGCAATTTTACCAGGAACATAATTTGGGATACTGGCTGTGGAAGATTTGATCGTTAGTATACCATTTTTTATATGATATATACAGGGTGGGTCACGGTCGATGGCACCTTAGACGTTTACGGAGAACGGGACATAAGATCATTCTGAAAATTTGGTTACTCAAGTAATTGCTCTTGATCTATCGATCTAAAATATTTTCAGCTCTGCGGCGTTGCCGCTTCTATCGAAAAGTAGCAACAACTTTGTTATTTTAAATAGAACACCCTGTATTTCATTGCATTTTCAGATTTTCTCTGAAGAGCTGATTTCATCGATGTATCACACTTGGGGGTCTAGCGGAAATGATTACAGAGATATATAGGGTGTGAAATATCGACATTTTTCAACTTCAGGAATTTTTTTTGTCGAAACTATTCATTATTGGTCAAAACGGCTCACATGTCCCTATCTCAACTTTTGATCAACTTTCTACTGACATTTAATTGAAACAAATACAGGGTGGTGCAGAATTCAGAATCTTGATCACCCGGTATATGTCCCAATTAAATATCAGTAGATAGTTAATCAGAAGTTGAGATAGGGACATGTAAGCCGTTTTGACCAATAATGAATAGTTTCGACAAAAAAAATTCCTAAAGTTGGAAAATGTCGACTTTTCACACCCTATATCTCTGTAATCATTTCTGCTAGACCCCAAGTGTGATGCATCGATGAAATCAGCTCTTCAGAGGGAATCTGAAAATGCAATAAAATACAGGGTGTTCCATTTGAAATAACAAAGTTGTTGCTATTTTTCGATAGAAGCGGCAACGCCGCAGAGCTGAAAATATTTTAGATCGATAGATCAAGAGCAATTACTTGAGTAACCAAATTTTCAGAATGATCTTATGTCTCGTTCTCCGTAAACGTCTAAGGTGCCATCTACCGTGACCCACCCTGTATAGTAAATAATTTACTTATTATAGAGATAAGTGACACTTTCTTGTTGCATGTTCACAAGTTGTATGACAAGGAACTCATAAAAATGTAACATTTCCTGTTCCAATTATTTCAATTATCAACAGTAATTACACTAGTGGTATTTTTTTTTATAAATAAAATAACCACCTCATTTTTTCAACTATTTTGCAAAATGCTTAGTGAAAACGAATATTCTACAGGCACACACTTCCGTTTTGCGCCATTTTTGCTCCAACAGACTTGTTCGTCTAAGAAAACAGCCTACCAACTGTTGTGCACGTTGGCCAAGTACCAATTACTCGATGATATACAGGGTGTAACTAAATAAGTGTAAAAAAAGATAGGATCTTTCATATAAACAAACTTCATTGGAGCACATCCCATATTAAGATACAGCTCCTTGAAGGGGGTACATAAAATTTGTTGAACTATTTTTTCCACAAATTAAGAACAGAATAACAATACAAATTAGTATTACTTCAAGTTTAAAAATTTACAAACTGACAGCTTGATACCAATTTAATTGTCACTATCGATAATAACAGCCAACTAAATTAATTTCGTATTTTCGTTTCATATGTATGTTGTTCGGAAAAAATAATGGGAACTGGTTTATTTTGGACAAAAAATTCAAAGGAAAATGATCACTGAAAGACAGTTATGAATACCTATTCAACTTGCTATTCATAACTGGGCCAGGCATTTTTTATAATAACAAGCACTTTTCACCCTGCCTGTTGGTTCCAAACAAACTGTATTGCCAGGACTGTGGATGACTCATCTAGTCTGTTGTATGATCAAAAGGGTAAGTTGATAGAAACTATTTTTTCATATTTTGAGAAAAGCTATCACATCCCGAAGTCCTGCGCATATACTATAAAACGCCATGCATAAATACAAAGTGTTGTTCTTTCCCTAAACGCTCACCTTGCCGTCCTTGGTGTGGATCCCGGCCCCGATCCTGTATATCTTCTTGTTCATCTCGGTACGGTGGTGGTAGCCCTTTTGACCGGCGCGCGCCACCGTGAACGACACCCTCGAAGGATGCCAGGCGCCGATGCAGGCCACCTTGCGCAGACCCTTGTGCGTCTTGCGCGGCAACTTTTTCGTGTGCCAACGAGAAGTGACGCCTGAAAGATGGAAATGAAAGTTGGTTGAATTATTGGTCGATTTTTTGTAGCGATGGAAGAAGTAATGTGTCTTTTTTATTCAGTAGGAAGGCAGCATGGTGGTATCTTCAGAATGATCAGAAGCACATTCCATGTTATTTCATCATTTTTGATCAAATGCTCAAAATCCAATCAGACTTTTTTGAATAAATTCACTGAAAAAAATCATTTAACCACGAGCGTAAGGAAAAGTAACGTTCCCGCCCTATTTTTCGTTTCGAAAGTAGTAATCTTCAATTCTTCAATATGATTCTACTTTCCCGCACGATTTTATCAGGGATAATTAGATATATAGAGCTTTATTTGACCACGATATGTTAGGTATAACATTTTTAGCAAGTCTTAGGTTCCAGCGAATTAATATTGAAATGTAGAGAATGAATATAAAAATGTACAAAAGCAGATGTTCAAGAATTATTGTAAAAATCACATTCACCAGACAATCAACACAATTGCATAGGTTTAGACTAACAGACAGGACAAATATATGTAAATAAATATACACATGAGAAAATAAAAATTAGGATCAAAAGTGACACTTTGTTTGAAAAGCGAATTTTGCATTTGCGAGGCGGAGCGTTTAGCGAAGTCGAGCGAAAGTTGAATTTTCAAGTTTTCAGTGAATGAGTAAAAATCGAAATTCTGATATTTTCAATATTTGTCTATTCCCATGAATATTGACTTTGTCATGATGCGATGTCTTTCCGAATAGAGGGATTCATGAGGTAGAAATTGGACTTGGAGCGTTTATTTCTACTGAAGATTTATCACAACTTAGAGCACATAATTCAAACCGATGCAAAATATTCTGAACAGCCAAAATCAAATGATTGATACCCTGTAGCTTCAAATCTGGTCATATGATCGATCTGTCAATTGAAAACTGTAATCAGGACGCTGAAACATATCAAATTTTCAGAGATTAGCCGAAAGCCATTTTCCGAACTAAATGTGCGGGGTCCTTTTCTTACCGAATACCACGTTAGCTTCAATTAATATCCGGGATTTTTTGCTCGAACACTATATACAAAATTCTCTCTCGTCTTCGACTCGGAATCTCGGAATTTTCAAAGTATTCGTGTTCTCGAAAAAATATCCGGAAATAATGGGCGAGTGGACATATTATTGGCATTCAATTACTCCACTGTGTCGTTAGGAACCCAAATTGATAATGTTTTCAACACTTCTCACGCTCTTATTACGTAAATAATAGGCCTGTTCGTTTGTATCGCTAAACTTGCTAAAGTTGTTTTTTTTCTTTTCATAGTCGTCTCTGTTCATGGCATGATGTAAACAAAGAAAGTCAAAAAAAAAATCGAGTCCAGCAGGTAGAGCAAGGACAAACGAACAGGCCTAATGTGTCTATGCGTTGTTCAAAATTGTTAAATTTCAGAGCACATTTAAAACGAACCGTCATGGCGATGATGCGTCATTTGGCGATACGTCGAATAACTGGTGACGTTTTTTATGCTGTTTAGTTATTGGTCAGATAATCTTCAATTTCCACTCATGAAGCAATGTTGTCAAGTCACCAAAGTGATGTGAGTCCTGTCGTTGAATAAAACATAATAGGAGGAACCCTTGATATTATAGTTCATTATGTCGAAATATGTCTTATTCTCTATAAAAAAATGCCTGTAAATGTTGGAGACTTGGCAACATTGTGATGAATGCTGAGGACTAACCAGACTACGGGACTACGCCCACAATTCGTGCGCTGCTGTCACGTTCACTGATTCAAATGTCCTCTAGCTCTAGTACGAATTGATATAATTATTATTTACACAAATTTATTATAAGCCATAACCCACAAATCTTAAGGAAACAGTCTGAGACAATTAAATTTTTATTGCTAATTAGGAATACAGTGCAGACTCGATAATACGAACGTTCAATAATCCGAATTCTTCAGTAGTCCGAACAAGCATTTTCAATACATTGAGTACTCTATATTTCATAGTACTCGATAATCCGAACCTATACCTTTAGGCCTATTTATTTCCTATAGAAATTATGAGTGAAATGTTCAGGGATTCCCCTAATTGTTCTTTTGTTAGTATCTGGGATTCACATTACGCAAGAAAGAAAATAATATTCCGTTAAATGATATTCTTGTACTTCAAAGATTAAAAGAAATGGCCTTTATAAATAATCAAAGATGTGTTAAGCAAACAAAAATTACAAATTACTTCAGAAACTAGTATTATATTATTACTTTTATGCATATTTTACTGTTACTTTTTCGTATGTTTTTTTTTGCATTTCGTAATAAAAATTAAAAAAAAAAAAAAAACTGCTTCGGTAATCCGAATTTTTTGATAATCGAATCGCCTAGGTTTTTATTAGTTCGGATTATCGAGTCTGCACTGTATTACCAATACTTGATTGTGAATTAATGAATTATTGAATAACTATCATTTCTGAAGTTCCAAATCGTATTTCAACACATGGCAACTGTCTGCCCCTGCTTACGAAATCGTGCCGTCAGTTTTTACTGGCGGTAAATTTCTAGCGGTTTGAAAATTGTATTGATGATTTTCGCACCTGAAAATCAACCGAAAAATTCTAAAAAAATACGAAATCGAAAGGTATTTGTGTGATGATTCTATTTCAGAAAAAAAAATAGTGTTGAGAAACTCGGTATATTTTCTAGTTCAGGGACGGTTGTTAGGGAAACGTTAGGTTTTTGAATTATTGATATGTATTCAACTCTGTATAAATATACAGAATTGAAAATTACTATCAGCCTTGTTTCATAAGCCAGTTGTTGATATATTTGAGCCAAAGGTCCTTCGAGTTATCAGCCATTATAAACCCAAACAAATAGTCCACTAGCCAATTGAAGTTCTCGTGATATAAGTGAAAATAAGTGATTTCAAAGTTCATCATTTGCGTATTCGAGGACAAAATCTGTATAAAATTGTTATTTTTTGCAACTCAGTCGAAAAGCAACGTTTATCTTAACTTCCGAAAAAAAAAAATTAAATTTCTCACCAGAAATTAAAAAAAAAAAGTGATTTCAAAGTTGATCATTTGCGTATTCGAGGACAAAATCTGTAAAAAAACAATACTAAAATTGTTATTTTTTGCAACTCAGTCGAACGTGCATCTCAACTACCGGAAAAAAAAAATTTTCCTACCAGAAATAAAAAAATAGTGCACTCGCCTATGAAGCTCTCGTGACATTGTAAGTGAAAATAAGTGATTTTAAAGTTCATCATTTGCGTATTAGAAGATAAAATCTGTATAAAAAAAAATACTAAAAATTGTAATTTTTTGCAACTCAGTCGGAAAGCAACGTTCATCTCAACTTCCGAAATAAAAAAAATGTCTTACCTTTGTAACCGTGTCCCTTGGTGACGCCGATGCAATCGATCACCTCGTCCTGGGCGAACACCTCCGACACAGGCACCGGCTTCTCGAAGTGCGCACGCGCCCACGCCACCTTATCGGCCACGGTGCCGCCGTTCAGCTGGATCTCCATGATGTGCGCCTTCTTCTGTCGTTGCTTCAACAGTTTCATCTGTTGTGCGCGAGAGATAAACATTCAATTATTTTAGCAGTTGTGTTGGATTACTGATTCAGGATATTCTGGTGTAATATGTTGTATTTGTTGAATTTGACATTTGCATAGATATCTAGTTTCCTTTTATCTTGTAAAAAAATGAGTGATGAAATACTACATTCTATCTATACTACACACACATTCGGATCGAAGTATTCAAAGGTTTTTAGACTTCAACAGAAGGGATTCATCTTTGAGTTGGTTACATTTTGAAATACATATTTTGCTAAATACTGTCTCTAGGTACATTCATTATTCCATTATCTTATTTTTAATTGCTGTAACAGTGCCAGATGTGCGTGATGGGAGAAATAGTTTATTATTATCACAGTATACACCCTTACAGTAGTTTCTGTCAACACTTTTCGTGTCCTGAAAATCACAGTATGAGCATTTGCTCAGCTAGCAGGGCAGGTGATCTGTTTACATTTGTATGACTTCTTTGATTTATATGCCTTGATGATTCATTCTGTGATAGGAACCACGAGGATCACGTTTTTCTTGTTGTTTCACTTTTGAGTGCTATTGATCAAGCTGTCATCATTGAAAGATAATGGCTGCTACTGTTTTATTTCTAGCACAATTAGTAGTACATATTGCAGTTTAAATATCTTCAGATTTCCAAAAAATTGAACCAAGGTAAGTAAAAGTATATCCACAGACATCTATGATCTGTTTGTTATCCATCAACACAATTTATATCATCATAGTATGATCACAGTGTGGTATAAACTATGATGTTTGAATCTTAATGTTTTTATGACAACATTTTTGCAATGGAAGATCATAAGCCCCAAAGTCGTATTTTTCACATATCCCATTTAATCATAGAAAGTTGCAGCCATTCCTGGCTAAACCAGAAATACGACAAAGCAATCATCTGATTATGTCAAAAAAATAAATTGACCTATAATACACAACCCCCAAATTTAAATCGATAAAATAACAAACTCGATCACGTCACAGAAAAAAAGATTTCATTATAATAAGTAACCTAAATATTAGTGGGAAAATTCTGTATGACTGTAGTAAACATGGTTTATCAGAGTGTCATCGTCCAGGGACTACACAACTGAATATGGAATATGTTCACTTTGCCTCCCGAAGGGCATTTTTTCTATGACACTGCAGCAGAGACCCCAATGAATTGAAAGGTCCCCGGGCCGCCAGCCGGAGGGTAAGCTCCTACACTGATCGTGTCAATAAAAAAAAAACATTTGAAAACCACTGATTTTAACATACTGAATATTATTCTGCAAAATAATTGAGGTTTTTCAAAATATTTCGACATAAAGCGAAATTTTGTGTATCTCAAATAATACTAGTCCGATTTTGGAAGGGTTACTTTCATGTTGTAGAAATTTATTAGGAATAAGATCATGTACTATTTTCCCCTTAAGCTTAAAGATAGGACATTCACATGGTAAAATGTAGATCCTTTACCAAAATAGATATTTATAAAACATTCCTATTATACACCTCTCCAAGAAATCAATGCACCACCAAAAAGTATCCAAGAGTTTAGGTTCGTCAAAAGTACTTGTCCGATTCGGACAGTTTTCATTTAGAATGACAGTTTATTTCCTTCTGAACATTAGTGAGCAATTACAGCGTGTTTTTCTCATGAAATTTGTAATACCCTGTAGTGTGTAATAGTTACACTATGGAAATAGAATTGAAATCACAATTTAGCCTAATCTTTTTTCAACATTTCTTTTTTGACTAAATCATCTTCGCAATTCAGAAACACCATTTTGAAACGTAACATGATTTAATGGAAAAAAGGAAACAGAATGCAAAGATAAATGAAAGGGTCAGTAGCGAGTATTTCCGCCGCGGCACGAAAAACTTCTTGGCAAAGATGGCCTATACCCAAGATAAGATACCTAGGCTGTGTGTCCAGAAGTTAATGAGTGGCTGTGTCCACAAGTTAAGAGTGGCTGTGTCCACAAGTTAAGAGTGGCTGTGTCCAGAAGTTAACGAAGTAGCTGTGTGGGCAGGTTTGAAACGTGACCGATTGGTCAGACTTCATACTGAAGGTATGTGCCCGGTCAAACCAGACTTGACACAGCCCTAATGTCATGTTGGTCCAGGTCTTCCCAAATTTGAATCATAAGTCTCTGCCGTGCGATTTCCTAAGTACTCAAATTACTTTCCTCTTGTAATCTTGTCTTGAGAGATTCTCAATGAGATTTAAATTCGGGCTACGAGCTAGCCATGCCATGGTAGCGATACAGATTTCCCCTAGATAATTTCTCAGAACTCGGGCGACTTGAGGTCTGACACATTTTGCATCAACAAAAATCCTTACACTATATAGGCATGTTCGTTTGTATCGCTAAACTGGCTAAAGTTGATCTTTTTCCCAGTTGTTTCTGTTCATGCCATGATGTAAACAAAGAGTCATAGAAAAAAATCAAGTCTAGCAGGTTGAGCAAACACAAACGAACAGGCCTTTTGTGGTTCTCAAATCACCAATATGTGCCTACCTTTCAGCTGTAAGATTTCCATTTATGATCACAAGTTACATGCAAACAGTCAAAGAAATGCCTTTCTGGACCATAGCCTACTACTTGCGTGCTTATAATGCCAATTGAATTCAATAAAAGCATGATATACTACGAATTTGTGTTTCTACAGAAAGAGGAAAGACAATGGAGAATCGAAAAAAGGAATGTTGAAAAATGATGAGGCTAAAGTGTACTTTTAATTTCAACTTGATAACAACTGTTGGCACTCCACAGGGTATTGCACATTTCATGAAAAAAACACGCTCTAATAGTTACACCCGGTATTCATAAAAAATAGGTTCTTCATGTGAAATTGAAACTTCTTTAATGAGTTATTTTGCCATTGTTTTGACGTAGCATGATATACTACGAATTTGTGTTTCTACAGAAAGAGGAAAGACAATGGAGAATCGAAAAAAGGAATGTTGAAAAATGATGAGGCTAAAGTGTACTTTTAATTTCAATTTGATAACAACTGTTGGCACTCCACAGGGTATTGCACATTTCATGAAAAAAACACGCTCTAATAGTTACACCCGGCATTCATAAAAAATAGGTTCTTCATGTGAAATTGAAACTTCTTTAATGAGTTATTTTGCCATTGTTTTGACGTAGAAGGCACTAATTTGATGATAAGGAAGTCTGATAATATTGACCTTGGTAACAGGTCTACATTTCATCTTACACTGGGTGGATGGAACATTAGAAGCATCTGGAGAATCATCAATTTCTCATTTCTCTCAAGAAATAATATTTAAAAAACTCAGTTTCATTTTCATGCTATACTGAAAGGAAGTTACTTCTTAACGTCTCTGTATGCTAAAACTGAGATATACTTTATAGGAAGAAAACACAATGGTCTCGTTCAGCTTTGACAGGAATTACATTGCAATTACAAAGTTTTGTGAATGTGCATTGTGAAAAATCGTCATTTTTCATGGGTTCGTTTTTGCAAAAAAATTGATTAAGAGGGAATCATCTGGAAAAGTTATAGTAATTCTCATAATGATTCAAAAAATGGCATAACATTTCCATTTGAAATAACGAAAAAGCTACTACTTTCAGTTATAAAATGCAACACATCATTGATGAAAAAATTTTAGACGGATAGAGCATGCTTGATTATACCAAATTTTCAAAATGATTTCTCAAGATACTTCTAATGTTCCATCCACCGTGAAACACCTTGTAGATGTCGCAAGAAATAGTTACATAATTTTTTTTCCTAATGGGTTACTCCACAGTGAAATATGGAACAAACCGTTCCAGCATTCTTCAAAAGAATCGATTGAGAAAAGCGAAAACCACACAAAAATCAACCCATAGCCCAAAAACTGACCTGCGTGTGGGCAATGACCCTAACGACCTTGCAGTACTTCACGATCTTCTTGAAGTCCTTCTCGATGGACTTCTTGCCCAGATCGTCCGACCACTTCTTCGAGGCCTTGGTGAAAGCCTTCTTCTTGCTCTTGTACCTGAAGACACAGCGACATCGCACGATTCAAAATTTGTCCACAAAAGTAGCGTTTTTCGTTCGGGATATCTGCAAGAACACCAAGGGCACGTCTCATGCGTGGAGAGGAGACGAAACCCTCGCATCGCACTTCGCTAAGGACTCATATTTGGCTAATAAAAGCCATAGGAGGAGCCAGCTCAGTGGACAGTTCTGTACAGCCCTCGTGTCAACAGAGGAGGACTTTTGCAAAAATTAGTCAACATGTTGTGTATGGATAGGTATCTAGTCTACTTGGGATTTCTGATGCTTTTGTTCAGATTTCATACTTGAAATGTCTTTTTCTGTCACGGGAAAAAAATTGGACATTTCATCTCTGTTGGCAGGTTATAAAATGTCACTTTTCATAAATTACTTTTTTCCCGGATATATATCATATAATGCGAAATTCGATCGACAACGCTTGACAGGTGATAGCCCTCGTGATTTCATAATCACCGAGATAGGGACATACGGTCTCCAAGTGTACAGTTCTCGAGAATAATTGAATATGTATAATGCATTCAAATTCGGTACATAATTTTTTGTATAGAAAACCATTCTGGACATTTTATCCAGTGGTGCACGACAGGGGGTTGTGGTAACTTTTCCTCCCATATTTTCTACGCCACTGATTAAATTTCCATTATTTCCAATTCCTCGAATTTATTGTTCAATTTTGTTCAAAAAATGTATCATCTTCAACTGAGCGGAAATGAACAGTTTTCGAGATATTCGACCCAAAATAAAAGATTGCATAGTAATATCTCATCATTTTCAGTAGTAGAAAATTGCAAAAATATATTTTCGGTGTTGAGTAGATTAGATACTATTCAGATCTCATCCTGTAACTGAATAGAAATATTTATCCCACGAATAAAGAGAAAACAAACATTTTTGTTATTTTCTACTACTCAGGAAGATGAAAAATCACTATGCAAACTTCTATTTTGGATCAAATAACTCGATAACTGTTCATTTTAACTCAGTTGAAGGTAATGCATTTTTTCAACATTGAACAATCAATTCGAGAAATTGGAAATAATCAAAATTTCGTCAGTGGCGTAGAAAATATGGGAGGAAAAGTTATCACAACCCCCTGTAGCGGACCTGTGGATGAAATTCTCGGAATGTCTTTCTGGTAAAGAATACCGAATTTGAATGCACTATATTCAATTTTTCTTGAGATATTGCGAAAAAATTATTCTAATTTCTTAACTTCAACGCCCTGTATCTTGAGAACTGAACACTTGGAGACCGTATGCCTCAGTGATTATGAAATCACGAGGGCTATCACCTGTCAAGCGTTGTCGGTCGAATTTCGCAACACCCTGTATATACACTGTTGATGGCTTTTGTTGTGGTATAGTTCCGAAAAATGAATCAATGATACCGTCTCCGAGAAAGAACCACTAAATTCTCAATTTTTTGAAACCAAATCACAGAATTAGACTGACAGAAGTGACATCAGATATTACTTTACTTCAAAAGAATGATAAAGATGCCTACAACGCAGGTGTCCCTATTGTAAAATTTCACGTCGGTAATTTTCAGATTTCAAAATAATGTAATATCTTCTCAATATTGATTTGTCCCTTCTTCTGTCACAGAAAACAATAGTGTTTTTTGTCTCCCTTACGCGTCGGGAGACAACACAACCTGGAGCTAAAATCTACTACTTTTTCCCTTTTAAAAATAAATAACTGTTTTTTTGATAATTTTATATCCACTAAGATCTACATAGAAAAATTATATGGCACTGAATTTCTAAACTTGAGAGAAATATATTCTATGGTTTGAATAACACTACAATACGAATTTTTGACATCAATGAAGCATAAAATAGTCATTTACCATACAAAGGGAAAAAACGAGGGAAAAAAGTATACAGGATGTCCCTCCGGGAACTGCATCGATCAATATATAGAAAACCATAGGTGGACCGAATTTGAAAATTTTGTAGTTCACTATTGTTGATAAGTTCTATCCGGCTAAAATATTTTGGAGATTGCGTCACTTCAGGTTGTACCGGAAGTGGACCCAAGCGTCGTTATTTCAAATGGAACTCCCTGTATTTTATTGCATTTTTAGATTCTCACTGAAGAGCTGATTTCATCAAAGTATTAACTTGGGGTCTAGCAGGAATGATTACAGAGATATAGGGTGTTCAAAATCGAGATTTTTCAATTATAGGATTTTTTTGTGTTGAAACTATTCATTATCGATCAAAACGGCTTACATGCTCCTATCTCAACGTTCGATTCACTATCTACTGACATTTAATTGGAACAGATACAGGGTGATCAGAAGCACCATGTATTTTTGAAAAGCAAATTGTTAGTGACAATCCTCATAGTGATGAAAAGTAGAAGGTTTCAAGGGATGGGAGAAAACCAAGGTAATGCAAGTGCAAAACTAGTGCACCACCAGGTTTACGAATAGAGTTCTCTATTAGATTCTAGCTCAAAGCTGTGGCAAGGTGGAGGTAGAGAAAAAATCTAATATTTATCCTGAATATAATACACTATTTTTTTCTTGTGTAAAACGACGATCTGATATTGAAAAAATATTGCTTTACATGGAAGTCAGAAAATTATCAATGTGGAGTTTGAGGATTTCAACTGGTAGGCTATTGTTCTTATTGTAACAATAGCTTCTTAGGAAACCTTCAATTCAATTAAATATCTGTTGATTTAATTTAGACCAGGAAAAAGTTGAAACCTTCTTGATCTTGTAGCTAGACATATAGACATCACACGATTGAAAAATTGTCCACAAAAGTAGCGTTTTACGTTCGGAAAATCTGCAAGAACACCAAGGGTACGTCTCATGCATGGATAGGAGACGAAACCCTTACATTGCACTTCGTTAGAGACTCGAATTTGGCGAAAGAATAGTCAAATTAGGCGAAAAAATAGACGAATTTGTCGATAAAGTAGTCGACTTTGTCGAAAAAATAGCCAAGGAGTCAGCTCCGTGGACAGTTCTGTACAGCCCTCGTGTCAACAGAGGAGGACTTTGCCAACATATCTAGTCTACGAACGACTTCTAATGGTTTTGTTCTGCCCAGATTTTCAATTTGAAATGATTCGAAAATATGGGCATTTTTTGTAATTCAATATCCGCTAAGACTTAAAAACCCTAATAGTTATTTAACCTTCAATTTTGCAATAACATACTCTGGTCAGTTTTTTTTACTATGAAACGACTTTTTTTTCTTTCTTAATCACAGGCGTCAATAGTGAGGTCTCAAGGACAAGCCTGACTAGTATTCACAAGACATTTCAAGTGATTTTTGACAGCCTCCAAAAAATTTGGATTTTTATTTTGTCCTCCATAGTTTTTATGATTTTACAAAATTGCAAAATTTCAAAAAAGTAAAATGGGGTATTGAAATACCCCACTATACCAGATACGTTTCGGGAAAACACGATAACAGTTGAGGGTTTAACCAACTAGTGTATTGATGAGGGCGATTATAACAACCTGAGAAAATACAAGTTTTATCATGTGAAATGGAGTGTATATAAAATTATTTATTGATGAAGTAAATTTGGAACATTTCAGCAATCTAGGCAGAACAAACCTATTCCTATTATAGAGGATATCTATTCATTCTAATTATGTGGCATAGAAAAATTGCTATACAATTTCAATGAAAAAACAAAAAAGTTCAAGAACAGAACAAGGAAAATTCCATCATATATTCAGGTTGAAGAAATAATCAGAATAAATAATATATCAATTATTTATCATCGGTTATCAAAATATACCTTGCATGTAATGAGGTTCTTCCTCATAACATCTTATGGTTTTTCCAAGGAAAGAAAAATAAGTGAATTTTAAATTCAGAAGCTACTTCAATTTTGAATTTATATGAATTTGAGTTTACTTTTGAAATTTGTCGCCTTGCGAGGTACCCGGACTCATTATAGAGAGAACAAGCCTGGGGCATAAGTGCTGGTATCTTTCCTCTTCGAGTTTCTTTAGCACTAATGTGAACATTAAGTTAGTTCAATTAGTGACTCTAGACTCGGAAATACGCAAAATCTGTTTGTCATGAAAAAACACTACATTAAAATGATAATCCAAAGTTTGGTGCACTGCAAAATGCATGGAATGGATATAGCTATATTTTTGTATCTTGTGTGTGAAATGTGTGGTTGAGAATCATTTTTTCAATGAAGTGCAACCAAATGAAAATGCTGGCGTCCTACATCTGCCTGGAATTGAACGTTCTGGAACACGTGATTTTGACACGTTTTTTTGGAGGGCGCACAAACTATCTGTTATGTTACCTTTGATGAGCATAGCCTTGCCCACATCCAGAATATAATATCAGATTTACCAAATTAATTTGGTTCAAACTCAGGTACCAAAGAAAACAATCCAACTACTTCTGGTTTCACTTTACAAAATGTCAAATTACGTTAATTCTAGAAAGATTATTATTTTTCTAAATATGACAGAAAGTATACAGGCTGACTGACTAAAAACGCCCCACCAAGCCATAGCGCGCCGCTGATTTTCAAAAACAAAAACAGATAAATGTAGGCGGAGACACTAACAATTTCTTTTTCCAATGGCGACTGAATCTAAGCTTGCAGTGCCAAATTGGCCGATTGTGGAACTATATGAAAGTACATTGTTTTGAAATGGTTCTTTTGCTTGTGTGTATAATTTTGATTTATTTATAGTGATTTGAGCAAAGAATACTGTTTATTTCTGTACTCTTGTGATTCCAGGGAGCTTTTCAGCAGATATTCCTTCAATAAAGTAAAATACATGAGATAGGCAACTTAAAAATACCCCAATTTGAGGTTAATTTAGTTCGTACTTCATTCCCATTCAGTAGTAGAATAAATATTGCAAATTAAATGGAGTGTATATGATGTTCACAAAGTAGGTATTCAAGGTGTATGTATTGTAGTACAGGGTGTATCTAAATAACAGGGAAAAATTCAAGGGGTGATTCCTTGTGATATTTTAGGAAATAAAGGTCATATAACCATGTGTCCTAGCTAATTTCCATGAAAAATCATTTTTCTATTCATTTCTCAATTGTCTTTTCATCAATTTCAATAACACATTGTGGTTTTATTGATAGTAATATGGAGCTTCTAGTGCAATTAGATTTTAAATAATATTTCCAGTGGCGTCCCAGTGGGTAAGTTTACCGATATTCATGGTGAATGTCATTGTACACCACTGGTTTTTCTGAATTTCATATTTTTATTAGATTGAACTATTGAAAAAAAAAATATCCTCTGTGTGATTTTTGAATCTAGTTTAGTTATTGAGGAAACAATAAAAATTCGATTTGACTGCAAATTTTAATGTACAGTCATATTCGAAAAATATCCTATTTGCGTAAAACGGGCTATCGGGAATCAATGTTTACCAAATGTTGACAGTAGAGTAATCATAGGTTCTCAAAAACACAAAGCATTGGCTGAGCCAGTTTTACACAACCAGAACTAGAATGCTGAAATCTTCTATGTTTAATACTTGTATGCTTTTTTATTGAATACGACTGGTGTGTAAACAATAACCCCAATTACAATTATTTTGAAACTTTGGGGGTTTTTTTAGTCTACAACCATACTGAATTTTAGCCACAAAAGCTTATATAGGGGGTGGGGTTAAGATACATGTTTTGAACTTTATTTGCTAGATTATCATGAATTTTTTCGGTGTTATTTAAATACAACCTGTATAAAGTTGACTTTCTAATTAGTGGGAATAAAGTGACATATCGCAACCTGTCAATAACTCTTTTCCCGTCACAGAAAAAAAAACATTAATAATGTTACTGATTTTGCGGGTTATATTACCCTTCACATCACTACTCATGCCCTAATCTCGATCGAAGACCGTCAACCTAAAGCAAACGACTCACCAGTTCTTGTAGAACCGCCTGCGGCAATCCTCGGACAAATGTTCCGCCCAAACGGTGGCCAGAGCTCGAAGGCCGTGCGGCGTCTCGATGTAGCCCACCACGCCTACCACGATCATCGGGGGCGTTTCCAGGATCGTCACCGCTTCGACGATCTCCTTCTTGTTGATCTCTGAAAGGAACAAACACATGTGAAATGTTTTTTTTGCCGGCTACTTTTATTCAAAGTAAACATTTCCTGACCTCATTGTAGGGAGCAGAGTCCCTACTATTCCTCCCTAGGGACGCCATGGTACGTCCTCAATGAAATAACTTATATGACATTGACAACCTTAACTACCATATTCTAGGGCTGTGCAATATTATCGATATGTCTATGTCCAATAACGATAACACAACAAAAAATATCAATACATATCGTTATTCAATATCTATCGGCGTATCGATAAATTGATATTTTTTAGTTTCACTATTCAATATAACGATATATATTGATATCTTGAAATTCCATACATATTGATACATATCAATATAACAATAAGATGAAAGTGATCATCGAGGGAACTGTTAAGTGACTAGGAAAGAGATTATTGGACATCCCTCACAAAGAGATAACCGTATACAGTGTCATTCATAAAGTCGGCATCATATGGGAAAAACTTTTATTAATGACTTATTTTGAAATTCGAGTTGGACGTCAAGTTTTGCTTCAAAAAAGATGAAAAATGGCCTTCTCAATTGGGGTCACGTGACTTTCGCTACATGTCATAAGTGACATTTTTTCAAATTAATCGCTGAAAGTAGGCTATTTGTTTGAATATCAAAAAAGTTTACTTGAAAAAGTTGTTTCTATTTCAATTTTACATTATGTGTCTCGGATATTATCTTTCTATTACATTTGTTAGATTTCGATATTTTTTAAAAAATTTCGAAATTTCTGTAATATTAAAAAAATTGTAAATTCGATAAAACTACTTCATACCAGTAGCTCCATCATGCTACTAACTTTCAATTACTAATTATCACTAATTATCGACAAAAATATGATTTTCTTCAGAAAATGATAATCTCCGCTTCAAAATTAAGTTATGTTTGATGCAAACATAACATCAAAATGCTGTTATGTTAGAGTCAAGCATTTAAAAACGAAATTCATTTGAATTTATTTTTTCAGTACTGAAAAGATCAGTTTAAATGAATTTCGTTTCTAAATGCCTGACGATATATCAACTTTGCATCAAACATAACAGAATTTGGAAGCGGGTATTATCATTTTCTGAAGAAAATCATATTTCTGTCCATAATCATTGATAATAAGTAATTGAAAGTAAGAAGCATGAAAAAGCTACTGGTATGAAGTAGTTTCGTGAAATTAATAATTCTTCATATATTATAGAAATTTTGAAAAATAAAAAAAATGAAAATCTAAAAGTTGCAATAGAAGGATCAAATTTGAGAAGCATGTGTGACATTGAAATAGAAACAACTTTTTCAAGTAAACTTTTTCGATATTCGAACAAATAAGCCTACTTTCAGCGATCAATTTGAAAAAATTTCACTTTTGACATGTTGCGAAAGTCACGTGACCCTGATTGAGTAGGCAATTTTTTATCATTTTTGAAGCAAAACTCAACGTTCAACTCGAATTCCAAAATGAGACATTAATAAAAGTTTTTCCCATATGATGCCGACTTTATGAATGACACTGTATACGTGTTTCGGGCTTTCGGCTTTCATCAGAAACCACAAATGTGCGGCTGGCTTCTATTTGTTGACACCGTTTATTTGTTGTTTCGTTTTCTAACAAGTGTTGCCCATCCTTTGCACTTCCTTTCAACGTACTGATGAGGGCCGAAAGCCCGAAACACGTGTATACGGTTATCTCTTTGTGAGGGCTATGTCCAATAATCTCTTTCCTATATATATATCGATACATATCAATATATCGATACATATCGATATATCAATGAATATCCATACCAAATCATACACTGATATGGATATCGTTTTCAATATTGAACAGCCCTACTATATTCTATTATACAGGGTTAATCACGTTATTACACACGCAGCATTGTGGCTAAAGCATTCGAAGTTTTTGACAGTCTTTTTATGAATAGGGATCTATCAGTGCTTTTTTCATGTTGTACAGGGTGTTTCAAAAACAAGAAGTGTATCGAAGTTGCTATTTTTTGAATGGAATACCCTGTATATCATTACATTTTCAGATCATCTATGAGGAGCTGATTCCATCAATGCATCACACTTGGGGTCTAGCGTTAATGATTACTGAGATATAGGGTGTTCCAAATGGAGATTTCTCAAATTTATCTATAATATGTATCGATATATCGTTATTCCATATCTTTCGGTATATCGATATTTTTAATCGATATCGTTATTCGATATATTATATCGATACATATCGATAAAAATCATACCAAATCATACATACACAAATATCCATATCGTTTTCAATATCGCACAGCCCTACTATACAGGATAATATGTCACGACAAGCTTACACTATCTTTATATTGAGAATCGATCGGGAGAAATCCATGAAAATGCGCATGCTTATATTTTAGATTATGCTCTCTTTATTTTAAATACAATGCAGTGTTGCCGCTTCTACTAGAAAGTAGTAGCAACATTGATATTTCAAATGAAACTCCCTGTATCTTATGATATATCACACTTGGGGGTCTATCGAAAAAGATTGGGGATATAGGGTGTTCAAAACCGAGATTTTTCAACTTAAGATTTTTTTTGTGTCGGAACTATTCTTTATCGACCAAAAAGGCAACGCTCACATGTCCCTATCTCAACTTTTGATTCACTATTTACTGTTATTTAATCGGAACAGATACAGGGTGGCTCAAGATTAAGAATTCTGATCACCCTGTATCTGTTCCGGTTAAATATCAGTAAATAGTGAATCAAAAGTTGAGATATGGACATGAGTGCCGTTTTTGTCCATAATAAATAGTTTCGACAAAAAAAATCTCGATTTTGAACACCTTATATCCCTGTAATTATTTCCGACAGACCCAAAGTGCGATCAGCTCTTGATGTGAAGAAGTTTGAATTTCGTGAAAATCATATATTTCTGACCACCCTGTATAACTTTCGAAGAAGATGAGTATTTCATATGATGGAATATGCCACCGACTACCAACAGTCTTGAATGATTCCATAAATTCTTAGTAGTATGAATAATGGCTTTGTCTAGGTATACAAAAAATTCTGCTTTTCATGAAATACTGGTATAACTTGGCAACGCCTTGTCGGATTTTCAAAAATAAAAAACTGATAATTAGCCTGAAGGAATGAGTTCAGATGTTGAAATATATGGGGTGTTCCATTTGAAAAAATTGATGTTCGATTTTGTGAGCCTTTCTTGCGCCCCTCGTATAAAATTTAGTCATGCCTGAAGTTAGCACTCATGATGCGATATGATGTGGAATTGAAATATTTCGAAAATTCCTATTGGTTCACGAGATATTCAACTGTCCCACTGGTCTAGGGACACACTGTATACATTGCATTTTCAGATTACCTCTGAAGAGCTGAATGAATATATCACACTTGGGATCTAGCGTAATTGATTACAGAGATATAGGATGTACAAAATGGCGATTTTTCAAATTTAGGATTCATTTGTGCTAAATGTATTCATGATTGGTCAACACGGCTTACATTGCTCTATCCTAACTTTTGATTTACTATCTGATGACATTCAATTGGAACAGATTCAAAATCCTGATCACCCTTTATCTGTTCCAATTACTCTACCACAAGTTAAAAACATGTAGGACGCAAGAATGAAAATAACGTGCCTATAAGTTGCACTGAATCTAGTTCTTAGTCTCAATTCTAAAAAAAAAATGTAAATAAATCATTCGAAAATGACTCATTTGAGAAAGGCGGAAAAATCATTTGTATAATATGGGGATAAAGTGCCTTTTACTCCCTTGAATGATTAAAAAAGTAAACTTTATCTTCGGGAGGAAAAGTAGCACCATTCTACCTTGTAAAATGGGTTATTACTATGATTGAAAGTTGTCGCCTTGCGAGGTACCCGAACTTGTTATAGAAAGAACAAGCCTGGGGCATAAGTGCTGGTATCTTTCCTCTTCGAGTTTCTTTAGCACTAATGTGAACATTAAGTTAGTTCAATTAGTGACTCTAGACTCGGAAACACGCAAAAAAAATAGTTAAGCAAGTTAATAATAATAATGTTAGGAAATTAGATGCAAATGAAAGCTTAGAGATATTCAAGAATTGTAATAGAGCAATGAATAAGGAAAACGGACCTATCCCATTTAACCCTCTGTATAGTTTAGTGATATAAGATCAAGGTTAACATGTGAACTCAACCATGACTAACATTAACTTGATGGTTAGTGTCTTTCACGATTGGGCAAACATATACCTAGTATATGAACACTAGGATAGAACATTTATTTTTAATCTTCTCCCTGATGATGATAACATGGTTAGCGAAACACATGTCGAGGCGTAAAAAAATCGGTTTGGTTAGTGGTAAAACGTTGTGTACTGTATGCAAAATTGTTTTTTTGGGGGTAAATACATAAGAGATAATGTTTTTATGGATAAATACATATTGATAAGAACATTTCTGGAATGTATGTTAGGAGATTAACCCTCCAATGCGTCCTGTTGCATATCTGCAACATACATTTTCCTATGGACGTGCGCAAAATAATACTTCTCCGCACTCAGTGCGGATATGGGTGTTATCCGCATGATAAGTTAAACTACCCAAAAATCTCACTGGTATGGAACATTTATATTCATTTTAGTTGCTGTAGAGTGTAGACTATTGTATGCACTATAAGAAGCCGTTATCCCATTTACTTTTCAACCGTTCTTTCCGATATTTGTATTTCACCCCAATATAAATATTAGGAACAACTGATTCAATTTTTTATCATTATATTTTATTGATATGTAATTGTTTGTTATTTAGCTATTTCTATCAAGTTTAACTAAAAATTATTCAATAAATTGTAATTTAAGTTGAAAGTTTCTATTCTTGTTATCTGATATGAAGCTCGTAGGGAAAATGTCAATTTCTATTATTATATTTTATTGTTATATGTGATTGTGGTATAGTTACATTTTTCAATGAGGTATATTTTTTTTTAT